TTACTGCTCTGGCTAGGACTTGCAGTATTATATTGAAAAGCAGTGGTGAGAGTGGACATCCTTGTCTTGCTCCAAATCTTAAGGAAAAGGCTGTCAGCTTTTCACCTTTGAGAATGACATTGGCTGTGGGTTTGTTATATATGGACTTTATTATGTTAAGGTATGTTCCTTCTATCCCGAGAATTTTGAGGGCCCTCATCATAAACAGATGTTGAACTTTGTTGAATGCGTTCTCACATGTATTGATATGATCGTGTGATTTTTCTTTTTTCTTTTTGTTGATGTATTGGATTACATTAATTGATTTTCAGATGTTGAACCATCCTGTGCCCCTGGAATAAATCCCACTTGGTCATGGCATTGTTGATTCTGTTGGCAAGGATTTTATTGAAGATTTTTGCATCAGTGTTCATTAGGGAGATTGGCCTGTAGTTTTCTTTTTGTGTGTTGTCTTTGTTTGGTTTCAGGATTAGTGTGATGTTGGCTTCATAAAATATATCTGGTAGTATCCCTTCCTTCTCAATTTTTTGAAAGAGTTTGTGTAGGATAGGCACTAGTTCATTTCTGAACATTTGGTAGAATTCATTTGTGAAGTTGTCTGGTCCTAGGGTTTTGTTTTTGGGTAGGGTTTTGATTACTATTTCAATGTCAAAGCTTGTAATTGGTCTGTTTAGGCGTTCTAATTCTTCTTTATCCAGCTGGTTGCAGAGTTTTAGGAATTTGTCCATCTCTTCTAGATTGTTGAACTTGTTTGCATATAAATGTTCATAGCAATCTCTGATTATTCTTTTGATTTCTGCTGAGTCTGTTGTAATTTCTCCTCTTTCGTTTATTATCCTATTTATTTGTATTTTCTCCCCCCACCTTTTTCTTTCATATGAGTCTGGCTAGAGGTTTGTCTATTTTATTTTTTTCAAACTTTTGGTTTTTTTGATCTTTGGATTTTTTAAAATTTCTATTTTGTTTATTTTTGCTTTGATTTTTATTATTTCCTTTCTTCTTCTGTTTTTTGGGTTTTTCCCCTAGTTCTTTGAGATGAGAAATTAAGTTGTTTCTTTGAGTTCTTTCTTGTTTCTTGATGTGAGCCTGTATTGCTTTCCTCTTATTACAGTTTTTGCTGCATTCTATATATTCTGGAAAGTTGTGTCCTTATTGTCGTTGGTCTCAAAGCATTTTTAAATTTCTTCTTTGATCTCCTTTTTAATCCAATGGTCATCCAGTAGTGTGGGTTTCAATCTCCACAAAGGGGGAATATTTCTTACCTTCTTTTTATGGTTTATTTCTAGTTTGATGCCTTTATGATCAGAGAAGATAGTTGGTATAATTTTGATCTTAATGTATCTGTTGATGTTTATCTTGTGGCCCGATATGTGATCAATCCTGGAGAATGATCTGTGTGCATAGATCAAAATGTGTTCTCACATTTTGAGAAAAATGTGTACTCAGATTTTTTTGGGTGTTGTGTCCTATAGATAACTGTTGAACCCATGAGGTCTAGGTCTTTATTTAGGACTCTAGTGTCATTATTTATTTTTTGTCTCATTGATCTGTCCATTGGAGAGTGGGATAGTGAAGTCTCCTACTACATATGTATTTTCTCTAGTGTCTGTTTTCACAGATGATAATAATTGATATATTTTGGTGCTCCTTCATTTGGTGAGTATATGTGGGTGAGTGTTATATCTTCCTGATGTATTGTCCTGTTAATCATAACATAGTGACCATCTATGATTATTTTACCTTTTTTAGTTTGAAGTCTATTTCATCTGATATAAGAATAGCTGTTACTGCCTTCTTTTTTGGTCCATTTTCTTGTAGCATTGTTTTCCAACCTTTTACTTTCAGCCTACTTTTATCTTTTGTAGTAAAATATATATTCTGTAGACAGCAGAAGGTTGGATTTTGTTTATTAACCCAGTGTGTTACTCTGTGTCTTTTTATTGATGAGTTTAGTCCACTTACATTTTTTAAAAAAGATTATTTATTTATACAAGCACTGGGTACAGTCAGAAGCATGGGAAGGTGAGAAAATTCACCAGAGCCAGAGCAGGGAACAGATCAGGCAGACTGACGAAATACACTGCTGAGGGGAGCAGCGGGCGTGGAAGGAGAGGTCTGTAGTGCCATGTGGGACCCTTGCTGTCAGCTGGAGATTGAACCGGCGCTGCAGAGGCTGCAGACAGTTTCTCAGGCCAGCGCTCAACAGCCGCGCCACCAGGAGAGCCCTAGTCCTTTTACATTTAGGGTTAATATTGATACATTGGCATCTGTATTTGGCATTTTGTTTGTCTTTTTGTGATTCTATGGCTTACCTTCCTGTCTTCCTATTCATTTCTTTGTTGGTTTTGAACTTAGGGCTTCTTGTAATATTTTTTGGAGTGGGGGTTTCTCAGACAAACAGAATTCAGTAATGAATTTCTGGAGATTCTGTTTGTCTGAAAGGATCCTTATTTTTCCTTCATAGAGGAAGGAGAGATTTGCAGGACATTCTTGGTTGGCATTTGTTGTCTTGGAGTTTGGTGAATATGTCACTCCGTTCTCTTCTTGCCCGTAGTGTTTATTTGGAGAAGTCTGATGTTAACCTGATTGGTTTTTCTTTATAGGTTATCTGTTTTTCCCCCTTGTCAGCTTCATTATTTTTTCCTTGTCTTGGATTCTTGGAAGCTTTACTATTATGTGTCTTGCTGTAGTTTTCCTTTCAATATGGTAATTTGGTATTCTTCTAGCTTCCTGTATATCTATTTTCATCTCATTCTTCATACTTGGGAAGTTCTTTTCACTTATCTCCTTGAATAGTTTCTCAGTTACTTTGCCCCTCTTCTCACCTTCTGGGATTCCTATAACTCTTATATTTCTCTTGTATTTCTTTTCCTCGTGGTGTCAAAGTGTTTCTCACAGTGTTTCCTCATAGTTCTCAAAGTGTTTCTTCATTGTTTTTCTTTTGTACTTCTCTTTCCTTTACTTTTTTTTAAAAGATTTATTTATTTTTATACAAGAATTGGGGTACAGGCCAGAGATGCATGGGGTGGTGAGAGGATTCACCCGAGACAGAGTGGGGAATAGAACAGGCAGATGGACCGAAGTACACTGCTGAGGGGAACAGCGGGCGAGACAGGAGAGATCTGTCCCACCATGTGGGTTTCTCCCTGGCTGGCCAGGAATCGAACTTGTGCTGCAGTGGCTGCTGATTTCTTCATGGGTTGCGTCTTATCCCCTGCGCCACCAGGGAGGCCCTCTTTCCTTTACTTTTTTGGTTCTTTTTATATTTGTATCTTCAAGAATACTGATTTGTTCTTCCATTTCATCAATTCTGTTTTTATTACTTTTTCTCAGAGTTCTTTAGCATCTCCATTAATCTTTTAATATCCTGTGTTTTCTTCATTTTCTCCTTTAAAACCTCAGTTTCACTCTTCGTTAATCGTATGTCTCAAATCATTCTTTTCCTTTAAATCTTCTTTATGTTTTTTAATCATGGTGATTCTAAATTCTCTATCTGGCAGGAGGAGAAGTTCTTCCATGTCATTGTTGTTGAGTTCTGGGGGCTGATTTTCTTTTTGTGGTGTGTCCTTCCCCAGAGGGCTTGCTTGGTTATTTGTATTTTTCCTTCTCCCTGTAGTTTGTTTTCAAATTTGTTCTATGTGCTTGGCCACTGGGCCACTGGTACTGGAAGGGCATCTTTTTGGGGTGCTTCTACTGGGATGCCAGGTTTGGGTGTCCAGACCAAGTCTGGTACTGTCATGCCAGACTTCATGAGAAGAGTGATGCTGTGGATGGGTTGATGGGTGCTATCCCTGAAGATCACTGAGTGTCTGTATGCTGCTTGTCTCTTCCCCTACATGCCTGTCTTAACTTTTGTTTCAGAGCCCTCCCTCTGCCTTTGTTCAGTTCCAGAAAGGGGGGCACAATGTGCAATATTTAATTAACATTTATCTCCCCAATTTTAAGTTCTATGGAAATTGTACTATATTTACTCTTCCTTCCCCTGGTTCTTCTACCATCTTTGTTCTACATGTAAACGTTTCCTCAGATAGCATGCTTCTCCTCCCTTTGACACCACATCCTTGAGAGCAGAGAGATCTCCTTATATCAGAACTTCAACTTTTATCCTCTACCCCATTCTCTCCAAAGATCCATTTAGGCATTTCCAAGTAAACCAGCAGTTTGCAAGGTTTGGATTGCAACCCAATTGGAACATATCATTTCATAACTTACTGCACACATACATACAAACACACACATGCATGCACACAATACTGTTGTTCTATTCTTTTCCCTCTTTGGTTTGATTATTGAAATATTTTATTTTTCATATAATTTTAAGATTCATGGGTCATGACCTGCAGTTTAAAACATACATGGGCTATGGCAACAGCACCTGATAGGGGCAGATCCTACACTTCTAAAATACAAACAACAATGAGAACCAATGCTACCTCAATAAAAAAATATTTAAACAAATAAAACATGATGCCATGTTCTTCCACATGTACATTTATCTACAACCTCAAAATTAACATATTTCCCAACTCATTTCTCAAGCAAATGTCCTTACTAAGGAATATAATTATTCTCTTAGTCACTAAGGATCAATATGTGAAGAGGTATTTTGGATTCTTCCTTACCCAACATTTGTAAGACCTATTGGTTCTTCTTCTACAATGTATCACCTCCCATCCTGTCCTTTCCATTCCTATCATTATAGTTCCAATTTTATTATAACTTGAAACACTGTAATAGTCTTGTTACTGGTCCCTATCTCTGGAATTTTGAAATAGAGGTGACGTATGTTTGAGTCACAAATGTCTGCAGGAAGCTAACTTAGCAATTCAGTTCCATTTCACCAACATAGTATATAGGGTACTAAAATGGATATGTTTTTATTTATTCATCAAATTCCTTCATTAACTAAATTTCAATTTGGGCTGCTTCATTATTTCTAAAATTCCTATTATAGTGCAGAAACCAAACTTTGGCTTTGTAGTAATGGCAGACAGGCTCACCCATGTCAGCAGTGACCATTGTAGACTGGTTTTCAGGGATGGAGACAGAGGTCTGATCTTGGTCCATGCTTCGAGAGTCCTCATTAACCTCATGTTGACTCTGACTGAGTTCTGATCGCAGCTCTGAGTACTCATCTTCCTCCCTGAGAAAAAAAGGAGAGTCAGCCACCACTGATAGAAAAACCCCTACAGAAAATGTCTTTTAAGGACAAGAAAAAGATATTCAGAGAAAAAGTAAGAGCACACTCTTCCCTCTCCTTATAACACATAGACCAGTTTCCTTTTATCCCAAATATACAGATAATCATATCATGGTCAGTGTGTGAAGCTGAAAGATTGCTCTGGATTCATCTATTAGCCTACTAGAAACTTTTCCTTTTTAAAGATTTCCTGAACAAATTAGATCTCCTCACCCACTGAAATGTGGAGGTGGAAAGGACAAAGAATACTAGCAAATGCCATTTAAGCTGAGGTGACACATCTATAAATTAGAGAAATGTGAAGAGATTTCCAGAGTTCTAGGTTCTCTTGAGAAATCCATTCTTCCCAAGGCAGGGATTTACCTCAGTCTCTGGTTTACAAGCTATTTTAAAAATAAAGTCCACCCAGAACTATGAGTAGACCTTAAACAGATATAAGCTCCAGACATGAAAATATGAATTGATATGGGAGTGGTGAAGGCAAAAATATAGGTTAATGTTCTATGAATAAGTTAACTATTAGACATCTACAAATCAAACAATAATTAGGTTTAGGAAAAAACAATTAAAAAATACTCTTAAGAGTTGCTTTTGCGGTCCAAAGGGTAATCGTGCCCTGATATATTAGCTTGCCTTTCAATTAGCACTTAAAATTCTGATTTTAGTCTACTGAAGATTTCATGCATGACCATGAATGATGTAGTCAATTTCAGCTTGACTGAGACTGTTGTACAGCCAAGAAAACCATATAAATGCTTCTGTGTTTCATCTTTAGGATAAATGGCATTTAAAAAATCTTTAATACCCACCTCAAACCCTTCTACCTTGGGAGGATCCATAATACATAGTACCTGGCCAAATATTCTGCTTTGTAATGAATTACTCCTGGGGGTTATTAGGATGATGTTTATAAAGGAGTGGTCAGAGAGTGGTGAGAGATGGAAACTGCTGATCATAGAAACATCTCCAACTGATGTCAGAGGTAAGTCTGAGAGAAAATTATACCACAGTAGATATGTTGTGTTAGGGAGATGATTTTCAGTGCCATGAAATGCAAACTAAGGATGCCTGCTCAATATATTCAAGCACCAAAACAAGGATAGGAAAGCAAAGACTAGATGGCTGCTACCTCTAAGAGTCAAATATATTTAAAACAATTCTAACTTAAAAAGGATGTTATGGGTAAACAAGAAGACATATCTGGGACTGCAGGCAAATAGTGACCAAGAAGACTTCCTGGATGCAGTCTCAATGTAAGCAGATTCTTGATAGATTATGAGGCTGGAAGTCTCATGCAAAGACTCAGAGGCCTCTCTGAACTTGAATGTGAACATGTGGAACTTGGAGAGTTGAGTATAGCTGAAGCCAAAAGGGGATGCAGGATGGAACATGAGACTGGAGGGACACACAAGCCACTTATTGAGGGGCAATTTTGATCAAAAGGAGAATTTATTGTATTGAAAATCAGTATTAGATGGTAAAAAGAAACATAAAATGTGTTATGTCTAGGAATTTGGGGAAGGAGCAAGATCTTGTATGGAAATGTTAAAATAAGCAGGTGGGAGGTACAGAAAGTTTCTATTCTTTACTCCACAGGGAGGAGATGGGCTGAGAACCCAATCCCTGCTTAGGTTTCCTCCTATGGTGATGATAATGTATATTACAGAAAAAAACAACACATGAAAACAAAGTAAATAGTAATTAGCAGTGGAAAACAACCTTGGAAGACTAGGCAGGGTTTTGTGCCACAAAGAATAAGGTATAAAAAAGTTAAATTGTGGGCCTCCCTGGTGGTGCAAGGGGTTAAGCATCACACTATGAAGCAATCCACAGCCTCTGCAGCATGAATTCGATCCCCGGCCAGCCAAGGAGAAACCCACATGATGAGGCAGACCTCTCCAGTCTCACCCACTGCTCCCCTCAGCAGTGTATTTTGGTCAGTCTGCCTGTTCTGTTCCCCACTCTGTCTCTGGTGGATCCTCTCACCGCCCGCATCTCTGGCCTGTACCCCAGCTCTTTTATGCATAAATAAATCTTTAAAAAAAATTAAATTGTGCCCGAATATTACAAAGTTGTGTGACCCTATTGTTTCTCCCCCTGACTGACAAAATATTCATGGAACTACATACCCTTATCACTGCCTGAGTATCAATGCGTCATTCCTGAAAAGAGGTTGGACCAGGGACTGGGAGATGACAAAAGTTAAATGTCTCAGAGCCCTGTGTAAGCAGAAAATCCATTTGGGTTCACAGTAGATGTAGAAGACCCACACTGGGTTTCTCTCTCTACTCTGTAATTCAGGAGCAATGGAGCAAGAATTTAAACCACTCTTTCAGTCTAGGATAGTTTTACAAAGGCAAGAATTTGAGGTCTGTTTTCAAGGGTACTCTGCACAGTAGTGTCACTGAGCTGGTGAAAGTGAATGGTTAATGACAAAACATCAGCATATCAAAGTAAATTTATAGTTTGCTTCCCTCAATTGGCAAGTGATAGCTACTTTTGGGGGAGTAAAAATGCCTCCAAAATGAACACCAACTGCTAATGCTAGTGATAAAAAGAAAGAAAACATGAAAAGGTCTGAGTAGTGATTATTTTATGTTATAAAAACAGGAGTTTGATAAACTGATAAGTGTTGTTAATGATTAGCTGTTGTGATAGTTTCATAATTAGGAATTACAAAGTTCTCAGGTTTTTTCCTTTGGAATATAAAGTATCATTTCATAGTGCTTCCACCTTCCTTTATTTAGAGTTGGAATAATTAGTGCTTGCTACGAGCTCAAATAACAAAGTAAACAGGGCTGTTTCTAATTTGGAGTTATTAGATCTCACACATCTGTGTAATGACTATTAGTGGTAAGAAAGTCACAGATTTGCACTGTGGAAGGGATGTGAGAGACCATCTAAACCAGGACCAATGTCTTCATTTTACATTTAAGACAAGTGGAGCCTCAGAAGGCTAAGCTACTTACCCAAGTTTGTGCAACTAAGTAGTAGCACAGTTTCCTAAGTCTAATACCAATGAAACAACAATCTAACATGGTATTTTTATTGTGGTTTTTACTGTTTATTGTTATTGGCTAGGAAAAAAGAGATCTAATCAGAAAAGTGAACTGTCTATGAAAATATGATTTTTAAAAAAGATTTATTTATTTATTTATTTATTTATTTATACAAGAACCAGGGTCAGGCCAGATTCGTGGGTGGGTGAGAGGATTCACCAGAGACAGAGCGGGGAATAGAACAGGCAGACTGATGAAATATACTGCTGAGGGGAGCAGTGGGCATGACAGGAGAGGTGCTTGCATGCCCACACCATACTCCAGTTGTCCACCATCAGGCATGTGTACCCAAACCCACACTCCCAAACGCCTTATACATTCAAGGCTGCAGGTGCTAGCCACAGAGGCTATTGGCATAAAGGCCTGAGCATCTTCATTTACTCTACAACTACATTCTATTTTCCTTACAATTACAGGCAGAACTTTGTTCTGAAATCACCATCATTCTTTTAAAGAATAAAGATTATTTAGATATAAGGAGGAAATATATTCTGTTCAAATCTCTTAGAGGATCTATAACAGGAGATAAGTGATGAGTAAAGTCTTGGATAATCCTTAAATTCTTCCTCTTCTCAGGCCTCCCTAATGGCACAATGGGTTGAGCGCAGCACTGTGGAGCTGTCTGCAGCCTCTGCAGCATGGGTTCAATTCCTGGTTGGCCAGGGAGATTCCCATATGATGCGGAAGACCCCTCTGTCTCCCCCACTGCTCCCCTCAGCAGTGCTTTTGGTCCATCTGCTTGTTCAGTTCCCCACTCACTCTGTCTCTGGTGAATTCTCTCACCCTCCCATGCCTCTGGCCTGTACCCCAGCTATTGTATAAATAAAAAAATGAATCTTTTTTAAAAAAAATTCTTCCTCTTCTAATTTTTTCCATATAGTATGGGAGGAGATCAGACTCACCTATGAATCTTTTGGTGACTAAATGAACAAATGAGATTTTGAAATGCTCTCATATATATAAAATAATCCATCTTTATCCTCAATGAATACAAGATCTGATGATATAGGATCCATATTCATGAACTTCTACATAGTGAAAGAGGGTTTAATTAAAACTAGATAGGAAAACAGAAAAAGAAATCTTATCTTTCTGGGTTTTATTATTATTTCATTGTATTTTACTTCCTAGTCAAGAAATTAATCAAAATAACGTGTTTTTCTGGGAGATAAAGATGTTCTGGTTACATTGTTTTTGCAATGTAGCAACACAAAGGTGGACAGACACATGCATGCAGGTAGAAGTGTGGGCTGAAAGATCAAAGCTCATGATGCAAGTAGGTATCTTATAAATCAGATTATGCTAGGGCCTACCTGGTGGTGCAAGGGGTTATGACACAACTTATGAAGCTATCTGCAGCCACTGTAGCACGAGTTTGATCCCTGCAGGTAGGTGACCTACATGGTACACCAGGCATCTCCTGACTCGCCAGCTGCTCCCCTCAGCAGTGTATTTCAGTCAATCTGCCTGTTCTGTTCTCTACTCTGTCTGGTGAATACTCTCACCCCATACACCTCTGGCCTGTACCCCAGTTCTTATATGCATAAATAAATAAATCTTTAAAAAAAATCCAGATTATGTTAGGTTAGACCATGATTTTGGACCTTATCTCAGTTGCCAAATGAGGGGTATTTTTCAGGCAAGGAAATAGAAGAATTGAGTGGCAATGCAGAGGTGACACTAATAGGAGAGATCAATGCTTTAGGATGTAGCTATTAAAGGTGAAAAGAATGGGAGATGAAACCAAGATAAGAGCTAAGGATGAGGGTGGGCCTTAGAGACAGACGAGTAGATCTAAGATCAATAGAGTTCTAGATGTTTGAGAAGAGTACACCAAAATTGAAGGAATATTTAGGGTCAAATGCTTCAAAAACAGGACCACTA